CCACCACAGCTAGCATTCTAAGGTTCTTCTATCCATCTGTCCATTGTAATGACCACTTAGTGCCACAGAGTGCACAGATCTATAAAACAAGAGTCTGCCTGACATTTTATGTAGAATAAATGACGCAAGTTGTTAGTGGATGAGTGATCAACCAATAGCCCTGCTGGTAATTTCTTTCAGTAACATTGCATAAACCAATGAAGAAAAAGGAGGAGGAGGAGGAGGAGGAGGAGGAGGAAGAGGAAGAGGAAGAAGAAGAAGAAGAAGAAGAAGAAGAAGAAGAAGAAATAAAATGGGAATGCCCTATATATTACAAACAAGTGAAAACAGAAAGCCTGTCTCCACCTGCTACTGATATTACTTTTGCACTTCTTTTATTCAGTGATCCTGGGGCACCTTCAGTCAGTGATTCAGCCAGCTACAAATTTTCTGTTGAGGTGAAACCTGAACCTAGGCTTTATAACTAAATCTACCGATGTGGTAAGGAAAATAATAAAGGATGGAATTTAACTGAATGAAAGAAGCTTGGGGTGTTCAGAGTGCAAATGTGTGTGGGGGCAGTGCAGTTGAATAAAGGAAGTTTGCCAGAATTGCTGCCTATCACAAGCTCGACAGGACAATGGAAATGAATGAGACACAAAAACCAAGCACCAAGTACTTGGGTGGCTAGCTTTGCTCTTAAAGAGAAATCTTAGAACCCAGTACAAATGTCAATATCTAGTTTGGGTTTGTTTATTCATTTGTATTCTTGTTTTTTTTGGGGGGTAGGGGTGTATTTTTTCCCAGGCTCTCACTCTGTAGCCCATGCGGGCTGAAATTCAAGACAATTCTCCTGCCTCGGTGCCAGGATTGCAAGCATAGGTTGCCATGTACTACTAGGATTGCCTTGAACTACAGTCTTTTATAGTTTTTTTCTGTTTTTTGATTGTTGTTGTTGTCCTTTTGAGATGGGCCTCCTGTAGTTCAGAACTCCATTTAGACGAGGATGACGTTGAACTCCTGACTGATTCTCTAGCTTCAACCTCTCCAGTGCTGGGATTATATGTGTTTATGGGTGTGTCACCACACCTAGTTAACTCAATATGGTTTTGGTTGGTTGGTTTTAGATTTTTTAATTACATTTATTTATTTAACCTGTGTGTCACACATGCCTATATGTATAGCACCCATGTGAAAGGACAATTTCAAGGAACAGTTCGTTTAGTCAGACATGTGGGTCCTAGGGATGGAATGAGAGGTTATTAGGCTTGACAGCAGCCAGCTAACTTACTGGCCCCAAACTACCATCTTTTTTGAGATAGGATCTTACTATAATTCTCTATGTAGACCAGGGGCCTTGAGCTCACAGAGATCCAACTGCCTATGATTCCTAAGTGTTGGGATAGAAGGTATGGGTCACCAAACCTGGCCCAAACTATAGTCTTGAATTAACAAAATCAAGTATGGTATAGCTAGCCTGCTCAGACAGATCTTAGACTACAGAATAGATTAAAGAGCAAAGACTGGGAGCAACATAATGACCCTGAATCGATTTAGTAATAAATCATACTGTACATACACTGGAGTAAGTTGACATTAGTTGTATACTTACCATATTTCCCTTAAACACTGTGCTAAATTATTTTCAGTTGGTTGTGGTAGCATACAATTGAGATCAGCATTCAGAAGACAGAGAGAGGCAGGCAGAATTCTGTGAGTTCAAGACCAGTCTGGTCTACATAGTGAGTTGTAGGCCAGTCAGGGCTACAGAGATCCTGTTTCAAGAAAAACAAAAACTGTCTGGCAGCAGTGGTGGTGCATGTCTTTAACCCCAGCACTCTGGAGGAGACAGAAGCAGGGATCTCTGTGAGTTTGAGGCCTGGTCTACATAGTGAGTTCCAGGGCAGCCAGGACTACTACAAACAGAGAAAGCCTGTCTCAAAAACAAAAAACAAAACAAAAACCAAGCAAACAAATACAAAACAACCTAAAATTAAAATAAGTAATTTTTATTCATCTAATTTCACCATAAATACTATAAGAAAGGCAAAATCATAAATTTCATTTTATAAAAGATAAATATGGTTGATGCCAGACATTGGTGGCACACCCCTTTAATCCCAGCACTTGGGAGGCAGAGGCAGGCGATTCTCTGTGAGTCCAAGGCCAGCCTGGTTCCAGAGCAAGTGCCAGGATAGGCTCCAAAGCTACACAGAGAAACCCTGTCTCGAAAAAACACACACACACACACACACACACACACACACACACACACTGAGGAAGATGCCTAGCATTGACCTTTGGCTTCCAGATGCATGCATATGCACCCACACCTGCACACACACACAAAATGTCACCAGTGCTAAACATGTTGGTGCAATCTGTAGATCCAACACAAGATGAACTCAAGTTTGATTCTCATTCCCCCAGCAAAAGAAGGAGGGTAGGGAAGGGAAGCTATGTATGTACGTCAGTTGGTACAGTGCTTGTCTGGTATGCACAGTGGCCCAGAGTTAGGTTTTGGTCCCCAGAACTGCATGAAACCTTGTCGAAGAGTTCAGGAGTGGAGGCAGGAGTACCAAAAATGCAAGGTTGAGACTGGTATAGTCTCCTTTTTTTCTTCTCTCTCTCTCTCTCTCTCTCTCTCTCTCTCTCTCTCTCTCTCTTTCAAGACAGGGTTTCTCTGTGTAGCCTTGTCTCTCCTGGACAAGGAGCTATACTCTGTGGCTGAAACTCACTCTGTAGATCAGGCTGGCCTCAAACTCACAGAGATCCTCTTGACTCAGCCTCCCAAATGCTAGGATAAAAGGCATGCACCACCACCAGGCTGAAATTCTAGGTTTTTAAAAAACCTTCTTTTCGGGGCTGGAGAGTGCTCTTAACCTCTGAGCCCTGAAGCTTCAGGGCTCAGAGGTTAAGAGCACTGACTGCTGTTCCAGAGTTCCTCAGTTCAATTCCCAGCAACCATATGGTGGCTCACAACCATCTATAATGAGATCTGATGCCCTCTTCTGGTGGGCAGGCATACATGGGGGCAGAATGTTGTATACAAAATAAATAAATAAAATCTTTAAAAAAAGAAAAAAGAAAAAAACAACTTTCTTTTCAAGATTTTATTTTTATGTAAATTGGTATTTTGTCCGAATATACTTCAGTGTGAAGGTACCAGACTCACTGGAATTTGAATTGCAGACTGTTGTGAGCTGCCATATGGGTACTGGGGATCTGCCATATGGGTACGGGGAATTGACCCCCGGTCCTCTGGAAGAGCAGCCAGTGCTCTGAACAGCAGGCTGAGCCATCTCTCCAGCCCAAATTGCACAGTTCCCGGATTGATAAAAACAGCTGCTGAGGGCTGGAGAGATGGCTCAGAGGTTAAGAGCACTGACTGCTCTTCCAGAGGTCCTGAGTTCAATTCCCAGCAACCACATGGTGGCTCACAACCATCCGTTATGAGATCTGGTGCCCTCTTCTGGTGTGCACATATACATGGAAGCAGAATGTTGTATACATAATAAATAAATAAATAAATAAATAAATAAATAAAATCTTAAAAAAAGAAAAAGAAAAACAAAACAAAATTTAAAAAAAGAAGACAGCTGCTGAAAGAAAACTGAAGAATTCAGAAAACTATCAAATAAGTCAGGGATGGTGGCAAAGGCATATAATCCCAATTAGTTGGGAGACTGAGACTTAATTGACAATTCAAGGCTTTGCTTGGACTGAAAAGCTAGTTCAAGGTCAGTCTGCAGAAATATTCCTTAACATAAGGATAGTATCTTTATATAGCAAATCTGACCTAAATACAGAAAGAACTTCTATAGGCAAATGCCTGAATCTGTAGTCAGTGGGCTTTGTCACTAGGTGAGAGGAAAAACAGAGTTTCTTCCTGTCTGATTAGAGAGCAGCTTACGTCCTGTGAAAGCAGATGCTGCTATGAGTTCCACTGGATGTGCTGATCTGTGTAACCAGGCTCTGCTTAACCACTACTTCTGAACAGAGCCACCGCATCTGTTCTCAGAACTAATTAACTCAAAGGGAGTTAACTCAAGATCTGACCTGGATCCTTTGAAAGGGGACACTTTCTGTTGAAGGGAATGGTGTATCAGTTTGTCCAATAAGAGAAGTCCTAACAATGTGGAAAGCAGAGTGAGCTGCAGATTGAGGCCATAGGATCTGGAATACGCTTTCTGAACAGAGTAAAAACTAATTGGTTAATTCTAAACACTTCTACTTTTTCATTGCTGATGAGGAGCTTTGCTTCTGAAGGAATCTTGCCTCAGGCTTTTCCTTAACTACCCTTCACTAGGATAAAATCTGAAGTCCCCTCTGCCTTCCAGCCTCCCTCTCCTAACTCTCCATTCCTATTTTGTACTTGAGTCATGCTGAACCTACTTGATTCCAAACCAAGACCCACACTGCTCTAGAGGAGTGCTGATACATAACATCTAACTCTTTGAGGACCTGCTTTCTTCCTGGTCTGCAGAGTATACTAGGTCCCTCCCCAGAGCCTTAGCCCAGCTCCATCCTCCTCTGCGAAATCTCCTGTTCTTCCTTTGCCCCTAAGCTCTAGATACTTTTCTGCACTAAAGCAATCATTTCACCCTGCTCTATACACTATGGAGTTTATTTTCTCACTGGATGGCACACCCCTCAAGGTCTTGTCCACCTCTATGACACACATCTCAGAGACATAGCATGAGGGTTATCTCTTGATAGGGGCTCTAACATTTCTTGAAGTAAATGAACCCTATTAGCATTTTATCTCTGGGAAGGTCTAAACCGTAGAAAATCACACTTGTTTTCTCAGAAGAAGGAACATATTCAAATACCAAGAATTGCAGTTCCTGGTAAGACCTTTCAGAAAATGGCATTGCCAACAGCAGCAACTGGAAACTCAGCAGAATGTTTGAGTGCTAAAAAGGGTGAAAAGGCCCACGATTTGAGCAGTCATGCCAGAAGTCTCCTAGGAGGAAGGGGAAGGTGCAGGAAATATCTAAATCTTAATAATCACAAGCAAGCTTTTTCTTAAGAATCGCATATATTTACATTGTAGACCTGGGATATACATACCACAGTAAAGAGATAATCAAATCTATCTGGATTCTACCTCCAGTAGGGGCCCACACCCCAAGTCTGATCCAACATCCCATGGGGGGTGGTAAGCTGTTTCCAGTGGGGTGGGTTTGGAAAGTGCACTCCAAAATATCACCACTGTCCTCTTCCTCAGGCTTTTGTGGGCTGTCCTCTAGTTGTCCATGAGGTTCCCAGGGCTGTGGGGAGGACTCTTCAGCTTGGGGGTAGACAGGTGCTCCAGCTCATAGTGCCCATTCTCAGAAGCCTTGTGTGAGAATTTATCCTTCATGTCCTCCTGGCTCCTCTTGTGCTCAATAATCTGTTGGAGCTGGTGACCAGCATATTCTGGCTTGGTAGTCAGTGGACCAGCTGGCACGGCTACACCTAGAATATCTGACACCATGTAGGGGCGCAGCCAGCCCACCAAAGGAGTACTTCCAGGACTATAGTGTGTCTGTTTATGGTAGAAAAGAAGTCCATCTACCTACAGGAGGAAAAAAAATCAGGAATCATAATGACTATGGGCCACATATTTCTAAGACAGCTGCACAGAGGATGCTCTTCTGGGTTCTTTATTTGGGGAAACAAGTTCTCTCTATTATATAGCCCATCTATCCTGTTATATTGGCCAGGCTGGACTTGAGTTCATAGAGATCCACCAGCATCTGCCTTCTAAGTGATTGGGATTATAGGAGTGTGCAACCATGCCCAGCCAATTTTTCTTTTTTTATTCTAAGCCACTGCCAGTGGAAAAAACTCCTTGTTTCTCATATGCAGTTTCTTAAATAAGGACTGGGGCTGGAGCTGATAGTAGGCACCAATTACCCCAGGACTTTGCAGGTTGAAGCAGGAAAGATCTCAAGATCAGCCAGACTGAGCTCTACAGTGAAACCTTGTCCAAAAGAAGGGAGAGGGGAAGATCTAGTAATAAGAACTTGATTTACAGAATGCTTTCCTATCCACTGTTTTCCTCACACACACACCCACAGGACATTTGAGAGATGGGGGTTTCTCAACATGGAAAGTTTTAGGCACCTCTCTAAAGATGCAAAGTCTAAAGCAAGATTCAACCTGAGTTCATGTTCCATGTCTTCTGTCCCTAAGTTGTGGGCACTTTCTACTGACAGAAAGTCTCAATAGTAAAGCTAGCTCCTCATATGGGATGAAGGCAAGGGATCTAGGTAGCTCCACCGAGGCACCAGACCGAGCTCAGGAACAGTCCTGTTCAGAGGCCCTGCTTCCCAAGCTATTGTTGCTGCCTAAAACTCCTCCTAGACTGTTTGGAGCCCTATTCTGGGAAACTCAGTTTTTCTAAACGGGAAAACCTCCTACGGCCCCATACTTTCTCTTCTGTGATTCAATGACTCACCCTTAAAAAGCATTTCTTGCCACTGGGATATAAGAGTTATAAATAAAGATAGTGTTCTTACCACCTTCTTAATTGACTCCCAGAAATGAAGCAACTTAGTCTTTGCCATTTCCTTATCCAGGAAGCTGTGATCCTTTACAAAATTAAATATACTTCTAGCAAAAACTTGACTGTGACTAGGCAGAATTTTAAAAGGGATGATGGGTAAGAAAACTTTGCTTGTTAAGCCAAGAGAGACTAACTGTAGGTTCTGAGGATGACAAAAGACTATCCCAGACTTGGGAGTTCCTGAGATAGGAGATTTTCAGTACTAACACATGACAAGTATGGGCAAAGTAAATGAGTTGGCCCTACCACCATGCCACTAATTACTAAACATTGTTATCCCAGGAACCATCTGTGCTTTGACCAAAAGAGACTCAGAGGTTTAAACATCTTTGGGGTCAGTCAATCACATATGCCCATATGCCTTTACTTTACAACCAGCCTCGGCAGTCAAACAAGGCACACAATGATGATCTAGGATGGCAGGATTCTTTGCTCCTCTCTAGGCTTGTTTCCCAGGGGTGCTAGTGGTGCTAGTTTTGGTTTAGTAGGGGTGAGGTTGAGGCTCTGGAGGGCAGCAACTATACCTTTTCCTTAGAATTAATTTTTAGCCCTGTTTTGATGCTTAGACACAGAAAAATAAGATTTCATGTACCCCAGTCTCCCTGTATCCTACAATCATGTCAGAGCAATAGACCATGGTTTCATTACCTCAAAAGGAAAATCCATAGACAGCACCTTACACAGGCTCTCAGGAGTACACGGGTAATTCTTTAGTCCCACAAATTTAAACTGAAATGTAAATGAGAACAAAGAATTAGTACATGTTTCAGATGATACTGGCTCTTTGATTGAAGAGCTTTATCAAATAAGTTTTTCTTCTCAACACTCAGGAAGCTAAGGCAGGAAAATCACTGTGAGTTTGGAGTTTCAAGGTCAATTTAAGCTATCAACCCCGTCTTTAAAAAAGGGAGGAAGGTGCTTAGTGGTGGTGCCACACGGCTTTAATCCCAGCACTTAGAAGGGAGAGGCAGGTGAATCTCTGTGAGTTTGAGGCCAGCCAGGTATACAGAGTGAGTTCCAGGACAGGATCCAAAACTACAGATAAACCCTGTCTTAAAAAAAAAAAAAAAAAAAAAACCGAAAAGGGAGGGAAAAAGAAAGAAAAAAGTAGGGGGAGTGAATAGAGAGAAATTCAAATGCCAAATGCTTAGATCCCACTTCCAGCACTCTAATAACAGTCTACAAGTGTATGTATATTTCACCAAGTTCCAGATACTACACACAGAGATCTAAGCTAGTCTGGTTTACATAGCAAGCTCCAGGCCAAGGCCAGCCTCAGCTATGCAATGAGATCCTGTCTCAAAACAAAACAAAACAAAACAAAAAACAACAACAAAAAAAAACTAATAGGTTGTTGTGTTACAGTTTCAAGATTGAAACATCCCATCCAGCAGGAAAGCTCTTTTTTTTAAGCAGGTAAGCAACTCAAAATAGCTTCAGCTAGTCCCTGAGGTTGACCAGATACCCCACTAGAGTAAACAATAAAAGCTGAGCATCTCTCTCAGAACAAAGGTACAAATACTGTGCAAAGAAGGCTGAGACCAGACAGCAGCCTGGAAGAAGCAGAAATATATATATATTACACAGTGTGCGTGTGTGTGTGTGTGTGTGTGTGTGTGTGTGTGTGTGTGTGTGTGTGTGTAATTTGGTTCTTACAACTCTTGAGAGTATCCTTTACTTTTTAGAGATGGGATCTTACTCCATAACTATATTCTCCAGGCTAATGTCAAAAATGAGCTTCTCCTTCCTCAGCCTCCTATGTGCTAGGTCTACAAGTATGTACTACCAATCCTGGCTTATTAGTGCCATTTGCAGATTAAAAAAAAAACAAAAACAAAAACAAACAAGAAACCTAAAGCAAGTGAGGCTATTATCCTAATAATTACCATTATTATTTTTAATGGTACTAGAGATTGAACTTAGGTCTTGACACATTCTAAACAAGTTCTATAATCTGAGTCATACCTCCAGCCCTTACACTAGTAATTATTAAACTCACAAACAGAATTAGACGTGGATATCCATGAAACTCAGTTTTCCCATTTTACTATTATAATAAGTTGCCTTGAAAGATAAACTCATCGATCAAGAGTGGTAGGGCTAGAGGGATGGCTCAGTGTTTAAGAGCACTGGCTGCTTTTCCAGGACCCATCTTTGATTCCTAGCAGACACATGGTGGTTCCCAACCACTTTGAAAAGATCCAATGCCTTCTTCTGACCTTAGTGGGCACCACAAAGTGCTGACATATAAGTAGGCAAAACATATATACACATAAAATTATAAAATAATTTTCTGCCAGGCATAGCGGCACACACACCTTTAGTCCCAGTACTCAAGAGTCAAAGGTGAGTAGATCTCTGTGAGTTTGAGACTGGCCTGGTCTACAAGACAGCCAGGACTATGTATAGAAACCCTGTTTAAAAAGAGAGAGGGGGAGCTGGAGAGATGGCTCAGAGGTTAGGAGCACTGATTGCTCTTCCAGAGGTCCTGAGTTTAATTCCCAGCAACCACATGGTGGCTCACAACCATCCATTATGAGATCTGGTGCCCTCTTCTGGTGTGCAGATATACATGGAAGCAGAATGTTGTATACATAATAAATAAATAAATAAATAAATAAATAGATAAATTCTTAAAAAAAAAAAAAAAAGCCGGGCGTTGGTGGCGCACG